TCTTCGATTTGTTGAAAAGAATCTTCTATTCTTTTCTTTCTTTGTTGCGATCTCTGCTCTAAACTTTCTTGTCTAAGAGTTTGAATCCATATTTTATCTTGTTCTAATTTCTCCATATAATCTTCTATCTGCATATTAGACATCTCTGTATTTGTCAAAAATTCTAAATTTTCCGTATCTTCTTTTCTTTCGTTTTGTGTTAGAAAGAGTAAATTTTCTTGTCCAAGTTGTTGAATTAAGTTCTCTTCTATATCTCTTTTTTGAAGTGCTTGTTATTCTTTTCTTTTTTTTTTAAGGTCGACTATCCAGTCATTATAAAGCTCCAGTTCTTCTAAATAATCTTCTATTGATTCATTCAATATCTCCACAGTTTTGTTTTGTTTTCTAGAATCTTCTTTTTCTTCAGTACCCGAATTCCTAGGTGCCATTCCTCTGTTTACATTTGTCACATAATCCACAATTAGATTATTTTGTTTACTCCTTGACGCGTGTTCTATTTGTGTAATAACAACAGATCTGCAGTACAGGATCAAGTGCAATTTCCCAAAAATTGCTTGCAAAGGGCGAAATTTTGTCAGTTTTTTGCCGTTTTTCTTCTTTTCTGTCCAAAGCCTTAACATTTTTACCTATGTCTTCTAAGAGACTAGATGTTATTTTGTGTGTTCTTTCTTTTTACTTAGTACTGCGAACTGTATTTTCTTTAAGGAAATATATGTTTTATTGATTTTTTGTTTATGTCGAATTTGTGTTCAGAGGATCAGCGAAAAGAGTTTGTTTATAAAGTTATATATATTATTAAGGCTGTAGTAGAAAGATTCAAGATGTTTAATAAAAGAATTAATAGTTTGAGAATATGAAAGTGTAGGAAGATTGAGAGATAATAAGATTTGTTATAATATGTATTAGGATTATATATAATTATATATAATTCATTAGTATGAAAAGTATTTGTATATTGGTTTAGACCACAGATAAACTAGTTTGAGTTTCTTTTCTTGTTATCTTAGGATATAGAGTTTAAATGTATTCTTTTTATTGTAAGAGAATCGAATTAAATTTCAATAAAGATAGAGACATGGTTTCACCATTAATATTCAAAAAAGAAAAGTATTTATATAGTTGGTGTATTGGGTTGGTTTATTATAGAAGTCTAAAGATGTTATAAATAATTTGCCAGTATTAAAAATATATTTTACAAAGTTATTTGTCATTTTAAGCTTAGTTCTTATAGCTGTGCAGGATTCTATAGTCTGCTCTGTATATTGGGTCTAACTGTTATATAATTGGTTTTCTGTATAATATCTTTTTTTTTCTTGTTTGTATCTTTTATTATACTCTTCTATACCTTTGTATTATTTTTTAAAATTATTTTTTCTTTTTTTTTTACTTCTTTATAAAAAGATGTTATCAAATTGATAATATTCTATTATAGAGTAGTAGTCAAATAAATCTCCTAGTAAGTATTATTTTAATTGATCATATTTTGCTAATATGGCAAGTTGTCTATAAATGTATATAGATAATTAGTTAAGTTATATAAAGCAACTATAGAAAGTTAGAGTTATAGCTTTTTTTTTGTAGTCAAGGTTAGCCTCTTTGGCTCACTACTTTTATTAGATACTAGGATCATGTGGTGCCTTTTTCAAAGGAGTCTCAGACAAGTACATTCTGATGAGAATATATTCTAGCTATATCTGTGTTTTTTGAGTGTATAATTAAATATCTACCTATTACTAGGTTCTATACTAGATATCATATCTGTAATCTACTATTACTTGAGCTACCCAATTAAATTCTCTGATCTGAGTTTCCTATGCCAATCTATCTAACCTTACCTGGAACATATAATACATTAGTCAGTCAAAGTTTCAAGATCGTTGCTAGTTTACTTATAAGACTACTGGTATTATTGATTTATTCTCAAGTGCATCATCTGCTAGAGTCATCTGTCACTTACTTTTAATGTATAATCTAGTTTTTTTTGGATAGGTATTACCAGATAGGTTCTATACCTTTACAGACAGGCCACACCACCAATCTCTACCACAGATAGATAGCCAGATAGGTTCTAAACCTTTATGAGCAGGCTATACCGCCTAACTATCTGGCTCTTGCAAAGTTCACCCAAGTCCCAGTACTCTTTCTTTAAGACAACCTAGTACTTTTCCTTTCAGTACTTCCTAGCCAGTCTCTCCAGACTACCAATCCAGATGGCCCAGAAAGGATACTAGTTTATTCTCTGATCAAACTGGTGGTCTGGTTGGTGGAGTAACTTGTTAGTACTTTTGCCTTGTCCAGTTTTTCAGCCTCAGGTGAAGTCTATTTCAGTAAGCACTATTAAAAGCTTGTGCTACCTCTTTACTTGGATCTTGCCAAGTGGGCTCATATAGCACTATTCATCAAATTAACACAATCTGAGAACTTATTTTAAGTTTATGCCACCTTACTGGTTTTGTATTCTATTTGTACAATTCGTACATTATACAAATACTCCAAGATCTCCCTTAGATCAATCCGATAGTGCAATGGATATTCTTCCTATATAAGATATAACCAATATTACAAGATCTTCTTCTCAATATATGAGAGAGTTGCTATTACATAAAAGAATTCAATTTTTTGACATTAGTAGGAATTGAACTCTAGATATGCTGCTTGGAAAGATGACAACTCAACCACTTTACTAAGTCACCACACCCTAGAGTTATAGCTTTATTGTTTTATATTTTCTATAAAATAATAGCTTTAATAAATAAAGTTAATGGTGCAACTTCCTAAATTAAAAAAAAAAAACTTTTTTTATTAAAAAGTATATTATTAACAATATTGGATCAAACACAATTCTCCCTAATAATCACTTGTACCAAACTTATAGTTAACGAAAACAGAAACTTGTTAGAAAAAAGTAGAAAAGACAAAATACAATAACAGTTTTTATAGAGATCATAATTTTTACAATTTACTCAGAACTCTTCTGTATATTCAGCATACAAGTTAAAAGTATTCTTATACAAGATAACTGGCAAGAAGGTGGTGCTTTTATACAAAAAATTTTAATAGAAGCACTGCTGTTGACGAAGTTAAAGATAGTTGGTCTAAGGAGAACAACAAGCAAGTTTTTAACACACTCTTTACTGAAGTTTAAGGCTACCTGCAAACCAAAACCCTCCTCTATACTTCACTTTTTTGGTCTTTACGAAATTTTTCCAAAAAGTGAAAAAAACAGTATATCCCTATCAAAAGATTGACAACAACAATCGTTGCCGAAAAAGAAAATATACATACACATGTATATGTATACTTTGGGTTATAGTATAAGATACTTTTTCCTCAAGAGGTTGCAGTAGTTACACTGAGAGTATCCAATTTATGAATATGGGTTGACAGATAACAGCTCGTTAACTTTGCCCAGAAATATACAAGTTGAAACATTACAGAAGGCTTGCTGACAGACTGGAATAGTATACAAAAGTTTCGATGCTTGGAGCTCTACTTCAAGACCAAATAGTTTTTAACATTTTTACATCCTAGATATAGATATAAATAACTAGTATAGAGTTTAGTCTAGTTTATTTGTAGTAATATATAATTTTTACAATCTAGCATAGGTTTAATAATGCTATCTTTGTTTTCTTTTCTTTTGTTTTTTTTTTTTTTAATATATTTTATTATTTTATTAATTACTATTATATATTTTTTCTTTAGTGTTATTTTTGTTAATATTGCTATTACCAGATCCTTTGCTTGAAATTAGTGTCTTTGTCATTACCAAAGTCATTGTTGAAGTTGATTATTGATACTTTAGTGTGTTGCTGTTGTTGCTGAATATTGGTGAAAATTTGGGTCATAATTAGTATATTGCTTCTTGTATATTGGTAATGCTAGCCTAGGTTGAAAAAGCTGCCTCTAATACTTTTAGTTTTGTTGTTGATGTATTATTACACAAGTATGTTGAAGTTAGGTTTAATGAGTTTGGTTTGTTTATGAGTCTGTTATTAACAGGTGTTTTTTTTTCTAAAATGTTTATAGAAATTGTAGATGTTTGTTTTGATATTTGGAATATATATTTTATTTGTTTTTTGTTCTTGTTTCTTTTTAATTCATAAATGTGTTACTAATACTTATTTCTTTTTTCTTTAGAATTGCTAGGCTTTTTAAAAACTGTTGGACGTTTGTCTTGATAATTCTAGAAAATATAATTTTGAGATTTACTAGTCTTGTTTTTTTTTGCTTATTAATGTTTCTTTTTATTTTAAACTTTTTAGAGCATCTCTGAATCTTCTTGAGATTTGTAAAGTATATATATTGTAAACTTAGAACATATAGGTTTATTTTTTCATTGTTGCTTTTTGTTTTGTAAATATATTACTAATATTTTTTATTTTTTCTAGGTTAGATTAGTTTTGAGAAAAGCTATATAGTTACTATTTCTTCACCATTATTATGGATTATAAGAACTCTTTATTCAGATGTTTTCAAAGGCATTTTTGAACTTTTTTTCTGGTTTGTAGATTTATATATTTTTTGGTTTAGGTTTTTTTTTTTTTTTAAGTTATTGCTTATTGCTTTTCTAAAGCCATTACACAATGCTTTCATTGCTGGTGTTATTATAATTGGAGTGATGGAGTAATAAAAACACTTTTATTGCTGATATTGTTGCTATTAGAGCTGTGAATTATTTGTTAATATCATTGCTATTGGAGTGATGATTACTTACATTTCATTGATTTTTATCATTATTGTTAGAGTTACTGTAGTTGGTATTGTTATTGTTTAAGGTATCGCTTTTGCTGTTAGTTAGATTAGAACATCTTGGATATTATCATCTTGGCTGTTAATTAGAATTAGAGTTTTAGATTTTATTGTTTTTGCTATTAGTTAGGATTAAAGTATCTTAGATTCTATAGTTTTATTGTTAATTTGGGTTAGAGTTAATATTAAAGTAGATTTAGAGTAAATTAATAGTTGCATGAATTGTAGTATGACATAATCATTGTTTTATATTGTATAAGTATAATTTATTAATTATATAATTAATTTTTTATAAATTATTGTTTATTGTATAAATTGTAAAATGGCTAGCCATTAATCATATCAATCATGTAATATAGAAGATGCATT